AGTTTTTTTTCCATTATCAATGGCTTATCCCCAACAATTGAAATGTCAATTGCTTCCATCAAAAACTTCAAATCTTAGTTAACAAAGAAAAGCCATAGACTGGATCATCAATGCCGGTTTGAGAGAAAGAATAAAGGTACAGAAGAGTTAGAAGGTAAGAAGGGGTGGACATGAAGAAGTGATAGAAGATATTCCATAGAACCAAGCGAGCTCGCTCAGTTGGTACCAGTGAACAGGTGGGTGACCCGTTAGGCCATGGAGTTTTTTGTCAAAAGATTGCATGGCCAAATAGTAGCACATTGTCAATTAACTCCCTTAGGTAAAACCTAATCTAGCGGGATGTTTAGCAACGGGAAGTTGAAATCAAATTTTAAAATCTACAGTTCTGAAACTTAGGTGATAGAGTTTTTAGTATGGAAATTGTTGTGTTTGGTTAAATCTTTCTAGAATTTCAAGGATTATGAGAAACTGTGTTTGTGTTTGGTTTAAGTTGGAATTTTGTAAACCTAGAGTTCTAGGAATTAGCTGATTTTAATCATTCATTAAAGTTCTCATTGGTTGGAGGATAATGCTTGTTAAATGAGTGAGATTTTGAAATCATAGCTCAATTATGGTTTAAGTCTTACAAAACAAACAGTTGAGAGGTAGCTTTCTAAAATCACATAACAGGCTATGTAAATTTTTTACCCTGCTCTCTAACTTCTATTATATATAGGAAATAAGAGGGAGCCCAAAGTTTTGTTTCTCAAGGGGAACAACCTCATGAATATCAGGAATGAGCTTATCCTCATCTCCGATGACAAAACTAGATAGATAGCCTCAGACACCAACATGAAATACCCTGAGCAATCTGAGTATTTCAATTTTATATTTTTTTTCCATAAATCAGATTCAGTTGAAGCTTTGGGAGTCCATCCTTTTACCTTCACACATTTGTAAACAATATTAAATAATATTTTTATAATAAAACTACCAAAATGCTCTTAAAACTCCAAAATTTTACTATCCTCTTGTCTTGATTGGATGGTTTAGAGTCTTGGTCTTCTGCATCCATTTTCATTATCAAATTTACAATATTTTTAAGATTTTCTTCTTTGTAATGACCCCATCATCCAAATAGAATTTTGGATGCCACCTTTGAACTGAGGTTCATGGGAGAGGGTGAGAGAGAGAGAT